TGGAGGGTGAACGCCGCAATTCCAGTGCTTTTCAGCAAACCCCAGTTGGAGGGAGAGGGAACAGAGGGATGGGGGGGCTGAGTGTTGGATCCCTGTTGTCCCTACTCCGCTGCCAGTGAGGAACTTGGGATGTTTGCACTGGTTTTTATGTATTCTGTGGGATGTGGTTATTCCAGCTCTCGCCCGGTGGGTTCACACGAGGCCGAAGATCTCCGGATGTTCCCATGGGGGAGGGGGAAAATTGGGAGGCATGGAACTCGATGGCAGCAGGTTTGGGGGGGTCTTGTCCCCTTCTCTCTCCCCACTGGATTTTTATGGCTGTGCTGCTTTCAGTATTTCCTCCTGATTTCTGGAAGTAAAGTCAGCACCAGCTTCCTAGCCTTGTTCTGCCTCACTGGTCCTTGCCTGAGGGAGCTGAAAAGTGGATGGGAAAAACAGGAAGATTAAATTTGGGGCTCTGGGGGTACCCCGAGACTGTGATGCCCCCTGGCACTGTGGGAGATGGGGGTTTCCCATCTCTTTTTCCCTCTCCATGATGGTTTGGGTCTCTGAAGCTCCAAGTGTCTCAAGCCACTGGGCTCCCTGCTTTCCAGGGGCCTCTTTGCTTCTTCCCCTCTCCCCAATTAATCCCTGATGGGGCAACTGCAGGGTCCAACTGGATCCCAAACTGTCCTACCTTGCCCCCCAACCTGGCAGTTGGAGGAGAAAGAGGGGAAATAGGGTGAGGGGACAGGTCCTGGCTGTGCTCTTTGCAGTGGGTGAAGGTCCCACGTATCCTTTAGCATCCCTCAGATTTGGGATTTGGGGGGGGTTTGCCCTTCCCTGGATCCCTGCAGGGACAGGAGGTGGAGATTTTCCTGCATATTGAATCTGAGCTGCAGCTGGAGAAATATCTGCAGTTGGGTATTTCTAGGAGCTTTCCTTCCTGAGGAAGAGATGCTCCCCTCAAATCCATGGCTGACTGTGCTGTCCCCATCTCAGGGATGCTCTTGTGTCCCGCTGTTCCCATCTTGCCAGGATGCTCCATGTGGCAAAGTCCCTATCTCCCAGGATGCTCTGTGTCCCATAGGCAGCTTCAAACCTCCCAGTCTTCCCCCAACAGGGATGTGGGGCTGGGAGTGCCTCGGTGAGCCCCAGGGCTCAGGTGCCCATCCCAGGAGGAGGCAGCCAAGGCCACGTGGGTGTGTGGCTCAGGGTTCTGCTCCTCCTCCAGCCCATCCCTAGGGACTTCTCCTTCCGCTCCCAGGGCCTGCTGCATTCCCCAGGGCCACCCATGTTTGCAGAGCACCCTGGGCTGTGCTCCCCAGCTGGCACGGAGGCTGGGAGCAGGGAGGAATTCCCCTGGCAAGGAAGCAGTTCCCAAGGTTGGGGCTGGATGAGGCATTCAGGGCTGAGAAATCCTGCCTGCTGCCTGTCCCAGCACGGTGTTACTGCGTGTCCTGCCCTCGTGGGCGCTCCAGGCTCTCTGGCTTTGCCTTGTGCCCATCCCACTATGCCAGCAGCTTGTCCCTATGGGAGCTGGGGATGCTCCTCGTGGCAGCTTGGGGGATGTTGGGGTGGTGCAACCATCACCCCTGTGCTGTCAGGGACCCCTCTGGGAGATGGGGGAGGCTGTGCTGGGCTCTGCCCCCTTCACTTTGTGGTCTGGGAGCTTTGACCTTGGTAGAGGTCACCATGGAGCCAGGCCCAGGTGATGGTTGGGCTCCCCAAGGTGCAGGAAAAGCAGTGCTGGGGGTTTCCCATCGCTCCAGACACATCTTTTCCACTTGGAAAGTGGATTTCCCTGTTTCCTCCTTGGCTGGGGAGGGCATCACTCCCATCTCACTCCGCAGGGCGTAAGAAATATCCCTCTGCCCCTGCACGGCCATCCCTTATCTGATGGATTCCTGGGATGAGCGAGTCTCTCTGGTTTGCTGCTAGTGGATTTTCTAGCTTTGCCTGGATTGTTTTGGCCTCTAGAAAGTTGCTCGAGGGTGATGGAAACAGCTAAAGCCCTTTGATCTTTAATCTCGAGAGGCAGCGTGTGGAGATTACGTGTCCTGGCACTCGATCTGGAGTGGCACGCTGGGAGCTGTAGTCCCAGTATCCTGCCGGGAAGGGAAGGGAAAAGGAAGGAAAGGCTGCCCCTGGCTGCTGCTGATCCTGTTTCTCCACTGCTCAGACCGCTGGTCGCAGGAGGACATGCTAACCCTCCTGGAGTGCATGAAGAATAACCTGCCCTCCAACGACGGGAGCAAGTTCAAAACCACCGAGTCCCACCTGGATTGGGAAAAAGTGGCTTTCAAGGACTTCTCGGGGGAAATGTGCAAGATGAAGTGGATGGAGATCTCTAACGAGGTAATTTAAGACTATGTACAGCTCCAAGGCAGCTCTGTGACAGGGACTGAGCATCCCACTGACATCCCAATGCTCTTGGAATGGCTCAAGATCAGTGCCTGGATCTCTTGGCTGTTGGGGCTGGCACCATCCCTGGTGCTGTTGGCATTGTGACCCCCTCACAGGGGCTGGGATGGGTCATTTTTGAGCTGTCATTACAAAACCCAGTGATTTTCTGCCATGCCAGGGATCTTCCATGTCTTCCATTCACATCTGTGCCCCTTCATTCCCACACAGGTGAGAAAGTTCCGGACCCTCACAGAACTCATTATGGATGCTGAAGAGCACGTCAAGAATCCTTACAAAGGCAAAAAGCTCAAGGTATTGGGCAGGAATTAAGCTCAGTCCCTAAAGGGCAGCTCCTCCTTCCCCAGGACAGGGGACTGTCACCCCAGGGGCATCCCAGATCCATGTGGCTCTGCTGCTGGAGCCCCTGCAGGCACCTCCCTGCCCCTAATCCCCACAGTTCGCTGCCCAAGGCTCCAGCCCTGGGCCCAGGCCAAGTCCTGGGTACATTTAATATGGCTGGCTGTATTGCTGGCAGCTTGCATCCAAGTTTAGCTGCAGGGAGGCCAGGAAGCTGCTGTCCTATTCCTGGCCCGCTGGGTTGGGTGGGATGGTGCTTTCAGCCGGGTGGCTCCAGGGCAGCTGATGCTCCATGCCCTGGATGGGGTTCCCATCCCCTCCTCCTGCTTCCATGTCCCCTCTTTGTGCTAACAGCTCTGGCTGGCTGGAGGCTGCTCCTGAGATTCCCAGCCCTGGGATGTTGTAGTTCCCAGGGGAGCCCTTGTTTGCACTGTTTTCACCCTCCTTGCTTGCTGTTCCCACGTCAGGGAGCTGGATCACCAGAGGGGCTGAATAGAGGCAGGTCCCCCCAGTCCTGGAGAGATGGTGGGTTTGGCTGTGATCCCTGCAGTGCTGTCAGCTCCATACTCAGTGTCCTCCTCTCTGCTGTCTCCCCAGAAACACCCTGACTTCCCCAAGAAGCCCCTGACTCCCTATTTCCGCTTCTTCATGGAGAAGCGAGCCAAATACGCCAAGCTTCACCCTGAAATGAGCAACCTGGATCTCACCAAGATCCTGTCCAAGAAATACAAGGAGCTTCCCGAGAAGAAAAAGGTATGGGGGGAGATCAGCAAGCCCCTTCCCACTGTGTGCCTCTTCGTGCTGAGCTCTCCCAGTAAAAGCAGCAGAGCCTCAGCCTCTGCCTGCCGAGGGTTTAATGCAGCTCTCAGCGGGAGGAACCAAGGGTTTGCTTGGTCCTGTCAGACCTGTAAGACTTCCCTGGCTTTTCCTGTCCTGGTTCCCAGGATCTGTGGGGTGGAGGCTGGCTGGGTCTGTCCCTTGGCCTGTCTCTTCCTGACAGACCTGGATAGTGGCTTTGCTGCTGGGTGGATCTGTGTTTGGTGCTGGGGTTAGGTCACACACCCCGCACTCTGTCCGAGCAAGGGACAGAGGGACAGGCTCTGGCAGCAGAGAACTGCCCTCCCAGAGGTGCCAGAGCTTGGGCAGGTGTTTTGGGACCTCCAGCACTCACTCCGGGGTGTCCAGGAAAGGTTCAGGGCACAAAATCCTGCTGCACCCTCTTTCCCAGGGCTGTTGGCATGCAGGGAGAATGGGGAATGCTGCTGCTGAATCCCTGGGCAGGCTGGAAACTCTCTGCTGGGAGCTGCAGGACCATTCTCTGGGCTGGGGAGTCTTTGAGTCCCTGTGGGGGTGGAAAGGTGCCTGGCAGGGTCAACAGGGATGTATCTTCCTGTCCATTCCCTGGTGCTGACATCTTTCTCCACCTCTCTGGTGGCTTTGTGTCCCCAGATGAAATACATCCAGGACTTCCAGCGAGAGAAGCAGGAGTTTGAGAGGAACCTGGCGAGGTTCAGGTGAGCAGCCAGCACTCCACCACATTTCCCTGGCCCCCTCCAGGCAGATCCAGACTCCCCTCCTGCGTGTAGCTCAGGGAGAAAGCCCTCACAGGGGCTGTGGCTTGAAGGGAAGAGGGAATGCAAAAAAAATGAGCAAGGAAGTGATGTCTGAGAGCATCTCTCCAGCTGAGAGGCTCAGCAAGGGGAAGAGTGGAGGAGCAGCCCCACTCTGGGAGTCAGAGTCTATGAGGAGGGGACAGGAGCCCTGCCACGAGCACTGATAGCAGCTGAAGAGATAACTCTGTGCCCCCAAGGCTTTCCATTTGGACATGGTGGCTGTGACTCAGGTGGATCCTGGTGGTCCCTGCTGCTGCTCCAGGGATGTGGCTGAGCCTGGATAGCTGATGCTCCCCAAAGAGGGACATCCCATAGCTGATGCTCCCCAAGGAGGGGCAGACTCATATCCCCCCTAAGACCCTCCTGCTCCTTTTGGTACCCCCCAGTGGAGTGGAGCCCCATCCCTGTAGTGACAGTCACCCATTAGCAGAGAGGTTTAGGGATGTTCTCCTTCCTTCTGCCACTTCCATGACACTCTCCCTTCCCCACCTCCCTGCCTGGTAAAGGGAAGACCACCCGGATCTCATCCAGAACGCCAAGAAATCTGACGTCCCCGAAAAACCCAAGACCCCTCAGCAGCTGTGGTACAACCACGAGAAGAAGATCTACTTGAAAGTGCGTCCAGATGTGAGTACGGTGGGTGGGAGTGAGTGTGAGTGTGAGTGTTGGGGGGTCTTGGACCCTGCTGCCGGGGGAGAGGAGGGGGAAGGGAGAGAAGCATCTTAGCAGGGGGACGGGATGGAGGACACCGCTAGAAGCTCCCAGGATGGAGGTAAGAAGGAGCTCTACACATCTAGGAGAGGTTTGGGGATCCAACCCCAACTTTTTTTTTGTCAGGAAGGGGTGACCACAGCCTGAGTCAGGGCAAGAAAGAATTCCAGCACAGACATTCACCTCTGGCCATGCCCCACACTCCCACGCAGCCCCATCCACGGCCGTGAGCTCGGCTCACAGCCACCCCATGGCCCCATGTTGGGTGCCATCAGGCCCTACCAGGCCATTTTTTTTGCCTCTTTTTTAAAAAATATTTTTTAGTCCTCCTTTTTTTTTTTCTTTTTTGGATTTTACCCCTCTGCCCTCACCTCTGGCTTTGGGTTTTCAGGCCACCACGAAGGAGGTGAAAGAGTCGCTGGGCAAGCAGTGGTCTCAACTCTCGGATAAAAAGAGGCTGAAATGGATTCATAAGGCCCTGGAACAGCGGAAGGAGTACGAGGTAGGGAGCAGCCTCACCCTGTCCCCTCCACACTTGGCCTTATGTTCACTCCAAGCCACTCTGCATCCCATGGCCAACCAGTCTCTGCCAGTAGCCAGTGTGGGGGTTCAGGCAGGTCCCGCCAGGTCCCTAGTGAGTCTGAGCTCTGCCTCCTCCAGCTGTGTGGGAAGCAATGTCCCTGGGGAGAGGATTAGGGCAATGGTTGGCTTCTCTCTCTTCCTCCTCCGGCCCCCTGGGCAGGCAGGGATGGCAGCACCTCTGACTGCTCTCCATCCTCTGCAGGAGATCATGCGTGACTACATCCAGAAGCATCCTGAGCTGAACATCAGTGAGGAGGGCATCACCCGCTCCACTCTCACCAAGGCTGAGCGGCAGCTCAAGGACAAGTTCGACGGACGACCCACGAAACCACCTCCGTAAGTGCTGTTCCTGCTGGAGCCATGGCATCAGGCTCTGCCTGCCCGGGCAACACTGGATGGGCACGGGACTCTGCTTGGCTTGAGGAGCCCCAGTC